CACCAAAGAGAGCAAGAAGAGGAGGRGGCCGGCCAYTGTCCTCCCATTATTTTCCTCAACATGGTGGATGCTGTGGTTGCAAACAATGCCAACAATGGCAACAACGCCAACGGCCGGAGAGCCGGTACAGTGAACTACTCTGAACAAGAGCTAGAGAGCCTCATGGAGTTGATTTTGGAGATACTCCCAATYGATTCAGARCAGTGGAATAYTGTTGTTGCCAGACACGCTGTTGGCTTCCCCTTCCATAGAAGCAAGAAATCCATCAGGAACAAGTACAGTGCTGTGAAAAGAATGAAAAGCTCTACTGGGAACCCCAACATGCCTAGGTACGTGAAGCTTGCRCGTCKGGCCCATTTCTTGATTGRAAAAAAGGCAAACATTGGTACTGGAGAGGAGGACTTTGATATGAAGACAGGCTTCCCTGTTGTTGATGCTGATGGGGCTTTCGAGATAGGGGGGTTRGAGWTGATCCCCTCTGCTGAAGTATCGCGTGGAAGACRACCAATCCTTGCCGGTGAAGATGATTCTTCGGATGAATCGATGATCAGACCAACCAAAGTATCATCCTCTACCACTCCRAATAAGAGATCCTATTCAAGAGTTCCTGACGCTGCTGTATTCAATGAGTTCCTGAAGAGCCAACAAGAAAGGGACAAAGAAAACCGTGAGATAGCTTTGGAGCACTCCAAGATTGCAAAGGAGGCAAGCCTAATTGCAAAAGAGACCAATCAGATGTGGAAGGATGCTCTCGGAATGGCAATGGCTTGCTTCCAGCAATGGCAAAACACACAAAACAGCAGCAACGATGCTTACCAGCCGGATGAGGACTGTAAAYGTCCTCGAAACGGAGAATCCCGCCATGGTGAAACTGAGGAGTAACGCTATTGCCGATACTCATAACTAACTAAACACTAATTCAAAGGATCCAAATGAAGTTAATGAACTGATCAGCAACAGTACTGTACGAGTCTATCGTCCTTAGTATCTTGCGTTGCATCAGTAGATGACAGTACTGGTTCTACTTATTCCGTCTATCTTTGCTTGGATGGGTTTTYGTGCATACCCTCTTGTATCGGTTATTGTGTATACCAATGCGGGATTAGAACTGTTTCCACACGTGCTTATTCCCATGAAAAGTGGGTATTCCCACGAAAACGGACAAAAAACGGTTCTTATCGGCATGCACATGCAGCCCGGATGGCATGTATCATTGACTTATCTTCGTTTTAGTATATCATGGAAGTTATATTCGTGACAGTATAACTCGATATGTAGTCCTGCATTGGAGTGTATTAAGGAACGCGGCAGCAGGCTTCAAAGCAAGAAGCTAGTTTACGACTCGCTGTTTGCTTGCTGTGCTTGCTGTACTACAGATTAGCTTGCTCCCCTCATACTGTCGTACGGAAAGCGGATAAGCAAACAACAAGCAATTCAACGATGGTTAAGGAAACTAACCAACCAATCGTTGGATAAGATCCACCATGGTGAAGATGGTGAGGTGAGAATGGTAAGCGCTCTGAGGATGGTAAGCGCCGAGTCGTTCTTTGTTGCACGCGCTCTGTCGATCGATTAGTTTCGACTGCAATTACATTTAATCACTGGTAAACATTCGCTAATTACATTCATTTGCTAATTACATTCCTTTCTAAACTTCTTTTTCACAACTAACCAACTAAACGATCGACCATGGGAATSACCCGAAGACGTTGTTTCCATGGGGGGATATGTCGCGTCCTACGTGGAAGAAACCCCTTGCAAGATCATTCTTCTTGTAGGGTTCTTCCGGATCAGTTGCTGCCGGCGTCCTCATGAAGGTTGATAGGATCTGGTTGTGCCCTACAGTACTACATTGGTAGTTGTAAAGGTTGACCAACARGCTCATGATGATCTTCCTGTCTCCATGCTCCTCCAAGAACATCCTGTCTTTGATTCRGGGAAACTGTCCCTGGATCATCCTCATCCCCCACTCAGACATTTGTCTCAAGGAAGTCGCGTCCCTATTGATGAGGAGWAGGTCCTCCTGTTCAGGGTCATGCTGTGAGCTTTTGATGAGGATATGCTCCTTATCTTTCAAGGCAAAGGCTGAATCCACTACAACCTTTGCATTGGACTGGGAGTAGACCTCTTCAATCCTGTCATAGACGCCATGGTCGGCAATGGCGCTGTCGTGCCACGCACCAGGACAGTTGAAGACTGAAATCCTGATTCTTCCATCCGGTGCAAAGACAAACACACTGTTCACAAAGGTGTTTTCCTTCCAAGCGTTGTAGAAGGCTCTCTGTTTGAACCAGTCCTCGGAAGCTTCAATAGCACTCTTTAGACCATCTGCAGCAGCCCAGAC